TACGAAGTTATTACGCCCCCCCCCTACAAAATCTCCCGGACAAAATCTCTTAAACAAAATCTCCCCTGAGAGGAGAATCATCAAATTCGATACAAAAAAATGTTAACAAAGGTTTATTTTAAAAATTTATATTTCTATGTTTCTTTTCCTTTCATTTTATTTGAGATAGCTCGGCGGTATTTCCCGGGGGGGGGGGGCGTCGACAATCATTCTGGTTCCCCTNGGGGGGGGGGGGGGGTGCGTCGACAATCATTCTGGTTCCCCTTCTACCTACTCCAAAATCCTTCCCGACAATATTTTGTGATGTCACAATATGTGGATATTTTGGTGATTTTGATTTTTTAGGGCGAATTCGTGTAAATACTTTGAGTTATATTTTTTGATTAATTTCTTTTTTTATTTTCCTTGATTTTTTTTTGTTTGGGATGATTGCGTGAACCCGCTTGAGTCAAGCGATATTGATTGCTGTTTTGCAAATGTTGTGATTGGAGCAGTTTTATTCTTTGTGTTTTTTTCGTCATTATTTGAACCTCTCGATAAGTATGTTTTCACGTTTTTCAATGACTTCCGTGAAATAAAGACAAGTGAGTTGGAAATTTTTTCATTTGCTTTTTTTTCCTTTTTAGCTGTATGATCGATAATATTGTTGTGATTGTACGAATAAGTTTTCGGGGGAGATTATTGGGGGGAGATTTTGTCCGGGTTTTTTTTGGGTGATATTGTCCAGGGGGATTTTGTCCCGAGATTTTTTCCGGGGGGGAAGATTCCTAAAATCCATTTTTTTATTGATGGTCAGTCGACAATGTGGTCACTTATTGGTCATGTGACGAAAATTGTCATAACTGGCCTCTGTGATGTGATAGTAATATGATGTGTCACTGAAGTGTCATAAAATTTTTGCACATGCCTATTCCGAATCCATCATGTAATGACTCCGTACGTTACATACCTTTCAGATGCTTTGGACAACATACGAACTCCACGCCTGAGAAAAGAGATATTCCACAGGGAAGAAGCATTGCGAAACTTCGGAGATTCATATTTCGCTCACGACAGGTATCAGCTGCCGTGGAGTTCCACCTTAAAGTGTGAGAAGAAGGTTTTTAGCAATTCAAATATGTAATCGAAATCACAACTAAAATTTTGAATTGGAGGAATTACTGTTTATTTTCAATTTCTCGTACACAAATAAAGTTCTCAATGTAATAAAAAAAACGGTTATAATATCCCGAGAGTTATACTGAAAAAAAAAATTCTGCCCATTAAATTTGTTTCAGACAAACAAATGTCCGTAATTTCCATACAACATTTCCCTATGACTTCTTGGCTGAAACAAATTGGGTTGACAGAATTATATTTTTTTCTCACCTAAATGAGTAGGTATTTTCAAAAATCTCCCTTACATATAAACGAATATATGGCTAATTTCGCTAATTAATGGTTCGATTTTGTACCTTCCAAATTTGAATATTGTTGAGGCTGTCATATGGTTTTCTCAATGTCGAAAAGACAATAAATTTTTTAATCCTTTTTCTTTCAATTTTATCGCATATGAAAAATTACTTTTAGACTTTTCTATGGAAAAATTGACTATTTTCTCAATTTTTTACATTTTCCTTTATTGTATTTTCAAATCTTTGACAAATGATAAATTATTTTGTAAATAAAAACGTTCAGAGGGAAAAAAATGAAAAATAAGCTGGGATTTGAGCCTATCCGACAGAAAGCATGTGACTATTGCTTTTTGCGTTATTAGTATTTTTCTTTTTTTCACTTTTACCAATTCTACGAGCAGTAAGCTTCAAAATGAATCCGTCGCAATTTCCAGTCCATGTGTCTGTGACAGACATACAACCGTATGTCACGATGAACCGTATGAACCGTAATCACGATCTGCAGGGTGTCTACAGGGAGATTTGTCAATCTTTTGATGAAATAGATTATATACAAAAGGTATCTCTGAAACGATTCGGCCGATTGCGCCCATTCAAAATACAAATCTTCAATATTGCAAGAGACATGTTAACACGGGTCAAAAGTAATTCAGTAATCAAAAGTAAAATTCAGAAATGAGCCTTACTTTTGACCCTCAGTTGTGATTTTGATCCTCATTTTTGTGACTCTTAGTTTCAAGCCTTTGATTTTGTAACCTTAGTTTTTGACTCTCATATCTGACCCTCATTTTTCACATCACACTTGACCCTCGTGACCGTTAAATTTTATTCTTGCATCTAATCTTTAGTTTCAATCCCTATACTGAGGAAAACAAAGTTTTTTGAGAAGTACATCTTTATTTATATCCAGAAACTCGTAGCTTGAAAATTTTCAAGAGCAAACTATCGTGCAAAATCTTCTTGGCAAAAAAAATTTTTCGGAAGATTTGGTATAGTTGTCCTAAAGACAAGGACAATTTCTTAATGACAAGAAAGCGATTTCTCATACCAAGAAAAATCGAATTAATTCATTTAATAGTTGTTAGCCTCGACTCTAAAAGAATGTAATGCAAAAACCACTTGAATTGATTTGAGAACTCGTTTTCTTGATATGAACCGATTTCCTCATCTTTCGGACAACTATAAAATTTCTTGGCGTAAGATTTTTTTTCTTAGTGTGAGATCTTGTGCGCTTGGAAATTTTCGAGCCAGGAATATCTCGATACAAGTTAAAACGAAGTTCTCAAAAAACTCTTGTCTTCTTAATGTATTTTCTGCTTTTATTTCAGACCCTCACACCTAAACTGATGATTCGTTCAGATTCTTTTTTCTGACCCCGATTGTTGACCATTATTTCTGACTCATACCTTCGAGACCCGGAATTGTGACTTTCATTTCTGTCCTTTTGTTTTGACTCTCATTTAATTTCGTCATTTCTAACCATAACGCCTAGCCCTTGTGACGCTTAGTGTTGATTCTTATATATTTCCGATCCTTATATAATCCCACCTTCCCCGATATAAAACCCGCGCAATCAATGAAATCGCGTTTTAATAAACCCCCCTCCTCCACATATATAAGACCCGTCCCGGCCAAGCGAGACCTCCACATAAGACCATACATAAGACCCTTGCTTGAAACCCCTCACACTGATAGAAGGGATTTGTTAATGTTACTTTATGAATTCAGTTGAACCTATTTTCACTGATGCAGTTCATGCAACTGGCAATTCATTCCATTTAACCAGAAATCTCCTTTCATCCAATTACAAGGCAATTCTCGTTGCAGTTGTATCAAATCAACTTTTCTCTTCCGCCAACCGCGTATTCGGTAATAGTTACCGACTCGAGGGTAATGCAATGCGCCATCTAGTTGAAGGTTAGATCACCGGTCCATATTGATATGTCGCAGTGACGCCGGTTGACTTCGGATAAATTATTTATTATTGAAATTATTCACGTTAATTATTAAAAAATGAAAAGTTTATTTGAAGAGTGGAATTTGATTGATGTTTTCGAGAAATTGGACGGTAAGTACATTGATGTATTACGAATGAGTAATGACGAATGAATCGATCCACTGTTTGATTACATTTCTGTTACGTGCATGTTGGAAAATAACCTATTCATTAAAATATATCCCAAACTCTAACCATCAATAATGATGTCTCAATTGTTTCTACAAGTTCCTGAACTATTCTTATGCCTTTCTAATATTTTTTGTTTCATTATTCCATCTCTGGGTTATTTTTCAAAAGCCATAACCTTCAAAAATTTCTATTTTATGTACGAGCATTTAACCCTTGTCATTTTTTGTTCTCATTTCGTCTTGGATTATTTCACAGAGTCTGGGATCAATAATCTGGAAATATTGGAAGAGTTTTTGAAATTACCACATAACGCGACAAACAAAGTGTTATAACAAATTTGGAAAAACTATTCATCTTGCAAAAAAAATTCAAAGAACACGTAGGTTTATAAGAGTAAAATATATCAGTACACATTTCACGATTAAAAAAGATTCTATCAAATTCGACATTGAGGTGATAAAACGTGACGAACTAGAACATCATTGTTTATCCATGTAGTTATTTGATTTAAAACTATGTGATAAAAGTTATCTTTACAATTTCTCCTCAAATCCTTCACTCTCTGGATAATCAATTAATTAATCATATTTATTTATTTATTATGTATAAAGACCCCACACCACAAGGCCAATTATTGGGTCAAATAATTATAAAAGCATCAATAAAATAAAAAAAAATTACAACAATAATTAAACAATTAATATGAGCTGAATAGACTCGTGAAGTTTTATCACGTCAAAAATAACAAATTGTTCTAACGAGGTAAGTCCAGGAAATTTGTCCAGATTATTTTGTAGATTTGTTGAAGATCAGTTAATTGAAGTGAGATGAAACAATAGAGTAAACTCGCAATGATTTTTTCAAATTTTCAAGTTTTTAAAGCATCCTTGAGGGATTTCAAATGTGATTTATCAGGCCTAATCTCCCTAAATCAGTTCACACTACCATTATCCTTAACAAAAATCTATTTATAATTTTTTTTTCAACTCCTTGTGTTGTCTGATGATGAGAATGGAATGTGTTGGTCTTTATTTTAATAGGGAGAGGTTGGAGAGAGAGAGAAATGAGAGGCAGAGAGAGGGGCAGAGGGCAAATGGAGCTATAGTTGGTGGTATTTACTGTGGTTAGTAATTTCTATAAATTGTCTTTCAGATTGAAACAACAAAGACTGTCAAAACGTCCAATCAACGTCTCTCTTCTGGTGCTCAAGGTCAAGTTTTACCAGACGAATTAGTAGTAATTGCCAGCTCTACATTGAATGGAAATGAGGATGATATTAACGCAGAAAATTGTGAGGCATTGGAGAATTTTCTGGAGAGTCATGCCTTGGTAAATCAGGATCTTGAAGTTGACGTTGAGGAGGAGATAGAACAACAACTAACGGAAAGTTGTAGCAGATCAGATAAAATCGCAGATTATTCTGGAGATTCTCTCCCAGGGCATTCCTCCAAGCGTAAAAAGACCACTTCAACAAAAGTTGATCATGACGATTTGAAGAAAATAGTGAGAAATCATCCTTACGGTGATGCTGTGTACAGGATTTATAAATACAAGCAGGAGTTATCAACTACTTGCCAGGCAGTCTTATGTGAAGTAATCACCCTGCATTATATCAAGGACAATTTGTGAGTATTATTGTTAGACAAATTTTCATTCTTCTTCCCAAATTTTTTGAAGTCATCAGCTCCAGCTTTATACTGATGATATTTTTTCGGATTTTACAGAAAAAATCCAGAGTTTGAGGCATTAGCAAACAAAATTGTGGCACTGTTTCCCAAAGAGATTGTGCAAACCTACTATGTACCACCAACACGCAAAGCAGTAAGTAGAACCTCAAAATCCGTTGCTTCCAAAGGAAAATTGGTGGATAAATATCACAATCGGTTAGCAATCATTCGACTGGCGAACAACCTTGAGAAACAATTCTTGCAACGAGGTGTTGAAGCTACTGACATTCCTTCAGGTACTTTCCTTCTTTCAGATCACAAATTGGTAATTCCATAGCTTTCCTTCCTAGTTTTGCTGATTTTCATCTATTTTCATCAAATGTAGATTGCGATGGAGACGCCCGCCAGATGAGCAAAGCTCTACTGGTGCACTGTAGAGATAAAACATTGGTGACACAGCACTGGGGAGCGACCTATTCTCTTCGTCAAGAAGATATTGGGAATAAAAAATACAAAACCATTGACGATGTACTCACCCAATGGCCTATTCTAACTGGGTCTACCAGTTATGACCTGATTGAGAGCGACTTTGACTGCAAATTTCGTCGCGAGAATGTTTCGAAATTCTACATTCAGTTGTTCATATTCAACTGGGCAAATGGGTAATAGTTACAGAACCTCGGTTACAGCAACTGAATCCTTCTATCAGTGGCACTCGATGATAAAGCCCAACTTTCACCACCCCGCCCATAAATCCCTCACCCCATTGATAATCCCATATCCTTTCCCATATACAAGGTGTCCCAAAATGAAAGGTCGTCCTTGTAAAAGTAGCTTGGGGGGCTCATTTGGATACGAAAAGTCTAATGACATTTTTCTGTCCGACAGGCAAAAACGGTTCTGACACCACGTTGAAATTCATTGCGGGTTTTCTCAGCCGGGTATGATCATAGGAGAACATTTTTTTCAGCTCATTGTGCGTTAAGTGCCCAATCAATTGGCATCATTTTTATTCCTCCAGCCTAAGTAAGAGAGGAGATATGAATTTCCAAAGAAAGGGTGTTTTGCGTTGAATTTTCGCTTTGTTCGCGAATAACTCGTCAACAAAGCGTGGGAGAGAAAAATGTCATTAGACTTTTCGTCTCCAAATGAGCTCCCCGAACTACCCTTACAAAGACGACCTTTCATTTTGGGACACCCTGTATTATCCACCCATGTATAGCATGACCCTCTAGAATCGATTGGAATCAAGTCTGATAATAGACTTAAATCAAGTCGAAAAATCCACTCGAATCGAGATCAAAATAGACGTAGATCAAGCGAGGAGCTACTTACTCCATAATTAAGTGACACCATGATTTTGAAATGAAGTCGATTTCGAGTGATTTCAGTGATTTCGGAAAAAATGATTTCGGGCATTTCGAGCCTCACGGAAGGTGATGTCATGATTTCGAATGATTTCATTAATTCTAAATTAGTGATTTCAGGAAAATAAAGTTAATAAATAATAGAGGTGGGGCAAAACGGATTGTGATAAATTCTGAAAATTAAAACTAGCAATAATAACTGGCAACTGATAACAAATTCGTTTGATTCCACTCCCCCAATCTTAAGCTAATCAGGATGAAAAGCGATCCACTTTACCATTTTACTATGGCAGTGAGTATACGGCAGTTTATTACCATCGCCCGAGTAGAAATTTCGTCGGGAGCCCCCAACGTGCATTGGGAACCTATGAGTTTGTTGCGGGTTACTGACTCGTAGGTTGTACCTGACGTGTAACCCGTAGGTTCCAAACGCAACAATACTCGTAGGGACGATTATTGTCCGTTACAGATGAGTTCACCACCGATCACTCTCACGTAGCTCAACCCGTTTGTAACTTATTTGTCCCTTACAAAGTATTAACGGCATTCAATTATCCAAGTCCAGCCGGGCATAACTGGTCGAGAATTCAGCAGTACACTAAATAAGGGTCAAAATCAGCAGTCAGAAATGAAAGTCAAAAATAAAGATCAGAAATAAATGTCAGAAATAAGGGTCACGAGAGGCAGGAATAAGGATCAGGAATTAGTGTCGAAAATAAGGGTCACGAGGGTCAGAAATGCGAGTCAAAAATACACGTCAGAAATAAGGGTCATGGGGATCAAAAATGGGGATAAATAATAGAAGTGAGAAATAAGGATCACGAGGGTCAGAAAGGGGGATAAACAATAGACGTCAGAAATAAGGGTCACGAGGGTCAGAATGGAAAGTCAAAATTGAGGGTCTCAAGGGTCAGGAATAAGGTTCATTAATAAGGGCCAGCAATAATGGTCAGAAATAAAGGTAAAAAAGAAGGGTTACAATTAAGGTTTAGGCATAATAATCATAAGTCAATCGTCAAAGAATAAGAATCCTCGCCTTATCTGGCATGTCGGAATGTGATATTCTCAAGAATTACAGGATAGTGGACTTGGACTTCAGCACAGCAGACGATCATCAAAGTAACATCGAGTACGGTTCGGAATTGGATGGGTGACCACTCACCGAAAATGTGATTTTTTTTTCTTTTTCTACGTATATAAATCGATTCTTATCATTGGGCATGCTTTTCCATAGCAATTAATGAGTTATTCATTATTCACAAATTGTTAATAATAATTAGATGAATAAATAATCATGTGGATTTTTGATGGGTTACACCTACGTGTAACCAGTGAGGTAACTGCGTGACGTTTCCGTGAGTTCCTTGTAGGTTGAAAGCTGTGTGGAACCGGTGACCACGTCGGTTGCAATTGATAGGTAACTGATGATAAACCGACGAAATTTCTAGATCGTTGGTAGGCGTGTCAATTTCAAAATCACGAATTACTTGCACGGTTCGCATTATGCCAGTGCGCCACTGATTTCGGTCATTTCATCGATTTCAGACCATTTCACGTGATTTTGGAGATGATTTCGAAAATGATTGCAGAGAACTGAAATCACTTGATGTCAGTGATTTCGGTGATTTTACGGATTTCGGAGTGATTTCGGAATGATTTCATGGCAGAGTGGTGTCGTGATTTCGGGAGTGAGTAACCTCTCTGAATCAAGTCGATTAATCTTCTCGAAACAAGCTGAAAATCGTCTTGAATCAAGCTGCAAAATTGACGTGAATCAGGTTGGAGATTCGACTTGAATCTCTCTGTGTGAGCGGCAATTATGTATTTTTCTCAAATTGCTTTCGAAAAATGTCACAATATTTACACATTTGAGCATATTCATCACTTGGTCTGATTCATATGCCTTTTTGTCCCTGACCAGAAGGGGAGATGGGCATTTGACCTCTATTCCTGCACCGCCATTAAACTGAAAATTGATGAAGATTTTATAATCATTCCATAGAATGGAATGATTATATGAAAATTATGAAATAGAGAATAGAGTAGAAACTCTATTCTCTATTTCATAATTTTATAACAAAAATATCTATCCATTTCAGAATCTGTTGAAGTTCATTGCAATTTGGCATTGCGGTGGAAATGAGCTTTTTTTCTGATTTTGCAATTGTTTATATACACACAGAATTTTTGAGTGGAAACACTTTTTTCCTTGAGAAAGAAAGTAATAGTAGTGAAATTGAAAATCATTGCGGGAAAATATGGTTCATAACTAGATCCATTGAATTTTTTACTCGTATGGTTGGCCAGTTCTCGTTTTCGGCTCGAACACCAACTCCATACGAGTAAAAAACCCTACCGCACTTATCCTGAAATATGCTATTACCTCGTACATTTGATAGATGCAATCCTACAGTCATTAGAAAAAATCTTAAATCAGAATGATAAAAATCAGTACGGAATCGGTACGCTTTTCGTTTACGGTAATCCTAAACCATCTTTCCCTCCAAAAACCCTATCTCAATTTTGCCCTACAATCACTTTTTTCTGCAGTTCCAGTTTGTCCCACTCTCCCGTTTTGATACTCAAAAATATTATAAGTAGGGAAGAGGTAGAGCGGTTTAAGTCGAAACATGGTTACAAAAAACATGGTTACAAAAGTAATCTTTTGTGCCAAAAAACATATTGTGGCCTTCTTGGGAGTCGATTTGAATGAAAATTTGTTCCTTGAAAAAGAAAGTAATAGATCTAGTACGTTTTATATCTCCACTACGCTTGAGTGTTTTTTTTGTCCTCTGAAACGCAAAATTTATTCAAAAATTAACAGGTCGAAAAAAATTCTCTTTTCCAGGTAATCAAATGGAATGAATAAATAAATAATATTTTTAAACTTTTGAACGTTGAAATACCATATGAGAGGCCTGAACAAAATCGAGATTCTCCAAGTACAAAACTGCGAAATCACCCATATCAAGTTCCACAGGTTGGAAATTTACATAATCGTTTTCATCATTTGTGCGTAAAGTAAAAAATCTCAGTTTTCACACATTGTGATGAAAAATAGGGCTCGACACTCATGGGAAAAGTGTTCTGTGATCTTTGCGAGGGTAGCACTCGCCTTCGGCGAGCGCTACACATCTCCGATGAGTCAAAGCCATTATTACGCACTCGTATCGGAATGGACTATTTTGTGCAAGAACGTTTCAGGGTAATACCCCGAACCATTTTGAAGTTCAAGGGGTACGTGGTAATTCAACACACATCACATTCACATTTTATCACATTTGCAAGTGAAATTTTAATATCCAGTATCATTGTGGTACAATCAACAAATTTTGATTATTATGCTTGTTAGACGACACGAAATTATCGATATGATTTGAATACCGAAATTTTATTGACCGATATTTTGACGGCAAAAGTAATCGTAATAATTACAACAATTTAATGCACAGTTTCATTCTATTTCAATAACACTTCAAATGATGCTAAGAATATGAAAACTTCAGAAGAGTTACACAGCGTTTATCACTTGAGTAAAATAATCTTTATCGATTTATATTCTAGGCGAAGAAATTACGAAAAAAAGCAATTCTTCGAATATGACTGAGTCACATAACTTACTTATGAGATTCCCAACATTTCGTATGGTTATGTAAATGATCAAAAAGACAGCCTTCTGGTACTAGAAGTGCATCACTCTGGAAAGGTCCCTCTGTAAATTTGGCGTAACATAAGTGGATTAGAATGATTAGTAAGATTTGATGAAGTTACATGCGAAGTTTCACAGATAGCTTTTTATCCTTCATGGAAAAAATATATATCCGAGCATATATCTCAGATACATCACTTATATTTGCGGCAAAATATGTAATATGCGAGATATAAGTGCATACATATGCGCAAATTTATATCTAGTATATATCTTACAACGAGACTGCCTCTAGAGCGAGATTTCTGCCGAGAGTCTCGTCGAGACCGTCAGGGTCCCACGAGGGTGCTCACGAGGGTCATACTGTGCGAGGGTTGAATGCGGCAAGGATCATGCCTGGTGAGGGTTATGCCTTGTGAGGGTCAAACGTCATCAGGGTTGTACTTCGCGAGGGTTAAGAGTCTACTCAGTAATTTTGGCCACAAAACGAGAATGTGCTAGCGAAGTGAATATGTCATATAATAATCAAGAATGGTGATAGGAAAATTGTAAAAAAAAAGCTCTGAGTAGTTTCATTGTTTCGTTCGTTTTTAATTAATCATTCAAGTTTCCGCTTACACATCGGCTTTATGAACGCTATTTTGTCTCTTACCCCTCACACTGTTGATTAACTGTAGTGCTAACCAACAAAGGAGACTATATTTATGTATATTAAACCCTCAAAAATATGGGCATGAAGATTTCTTATCGAATTGTGTCGTTAATTTATTGAATAAATTAACAATAACAATAATGCGTGATGTCTGTCACTATCCAACGGACGCTATGTTTGATGCTTCGTTTCTCTCGAAAATAACCTCACTAACTTAATAATTTTACGCTTTACTTATCTGCGCGCGCATCCCGGTTTTGTCTTACTGAGAAGACCCCTTAAAGGTCCTACCTCATCCAAATTTCATCCAATCATTTCCTATGAGGTCACAAGGATGGGGAACGCTATATAAATTCCCTTCTTTAATGTAAAAAACGTTTGGATATTGATATCGTATATAGCTTATGGAAGTTGAACTTCGTCAGGGTCATACTTTGCGGGAGTTGAACTTCACTAAGGTCATACCTTGTGGGAGTTGAATGTTGCCAGGGTTACAGCTTGAAAGGGTCAAACGTTACAAGGATCAGCCCTCACAAGTTTGAAACTAGAGACAGACAGGACAATCTTAAGAATAAAACGACTGTATGGGTCAACCGGGAAAGGCAAGGAGAATAATTACAAGGATTCAACAATCACAAAGGTCAATCAGGAGACGCAGGTACTACAATCACAAGGGCCTTCAGATTATGTTGCTAGTTGAGTGACATAATCAGAAAACTCTTCCATTTGATTCTGGTGATTTTGTGCCTTGTCGTGTAACCCATGTTACCGTTTAAGCCACGCATGATGACCCTGGTAACGTTCAAATTCTGTGCAACATGACCCGTGCGTGGTTCGATGCTTGCAAGGTATGGCCGTGGCTGTATGTGCCTTGCAACGTTGAGCCCTCGCAAGATAAACCGGAGAGCCTTTTCATTATTTTTCTCGATTTATGATCGTTATCTCACGTAATCTAGACAATACTCAAAATTTGGATATTTTTCGAGACCGAGAGAATTCTCTTTAACGTCTCGCTTTGGAACGTCTCGTACGCATGCGAGGCTGCAGCCCAGCTAACAAATTACAGTATTCGAATAGTGAAGGATCAAATCTTAAACTATTGAACTGAATCCGCATTCTGAACATGCATATGAGCAGATTCACGCTAAATCAGCAGGACAAAAAAGTCGATGCTGGAGATTTTTGTCTCAATTTTTTTCTGAAAAGATGGCGATCAGACAAAAATTTTGAAAAAAGAAAAATTGAAAAATAGTAATAATTGAGGGAGTTACAATTTTTTGAAAATAGCTAGTTTTTGTCCAAAATTTTTTTTTCCAAATTGCCCCCAATATTTCTGCGGGTCTTCAAGCTAACAAATCGTCCCTTGGCACACTCAAAGAACATGCAAACCTTTCAAAATTAGATGTCATACATAGCATTATCTTCAGTATGACGGGGTTTATACGAGAAAACTTCTTTTTTCTATCCATAATTACTAAAAGCGATAATTTAAAAAAAATCTGAAATTGTCAGTAAAAATTGTCAATAAAATGAAAAAAATTCGGGGGCCAATTGGAGTTTGTCTTTCGCTGTAGTTTGGCGGTTATTATTTTTTCTAGTAGGACAAGTATTGAAAATGGCCGAAAATCGCTATTATTCCTGCAATCATCCTCCAAATGAGTGAATATGCAATTGCATAATTAAAAATGAGTGAATTCAATTAAATTTTCGATTACCAACAAATGAAAACTCATAAAAAAATGTATTTCTATTGTATAATTAGAGAAATAATAAATTTTTACTCAAAAAATCCTACTGAAGATGAATAGAAGATAATGAATCTAACCTCCACCATTTGCTAATATTTAATTGAATATCCACTTATTTGGGCGATAATTGCATGAATAATAGCGATTTTCGGTCATTCTCAATACTTGTCTCAATAAAAAAATTAGTAATCGCCGTATTACGGCGAAAGATGAACTCTTACTGGCACCAAAATTCTTGATCTTTCATTGACAATTTGTGGTGAAAATTTCAGATTTTTAAATTAACTTTTTGAGTAATTAACCATTAAAAAAAACGTTTTCTCGTATAAACCCCGTCAAACTGAAGATACTGTTATATATGACATCTCATTTTGAAGGGTTTTTCATGTTCTTTGAGTGTGCCGAAGGGCGATTTGATAGCTGGCAACCCCGCAGAGATATTGGGATCAATTTGGATTTTTTTTAAACAAAAACTAGCAATTTTCAAAAAATCATAATCCCCTCAGTTATCTATAATCCTCAATTGTTCTTCTTTCAAAATTTTTATCTAATCGCCATCTTTTCAAAAAAAAATTGAGACAAAAATCCCCAGCGTCGACTTTTTTGTCCTGCTAATTTGGAGTGGATTTGCTCATATACCGTAATGATTACCGACATGTTTATGCCGACATGCATATACCGTCAATACGCTCCGTTAGAAAGTCGAGTATAAAGGAAAATCGATACACAAACTCATCTTTGTACTCAATCAGAACGCGAAATATCCCCACCAATTTTATTTACACATTCTGATTGGGTGCGCCAATTCATTTCCTTAGTAATTAGCTTCCAGAGTCTGATTAAGGCACAGGGTGAGTTATACGAGACTTTAGAATGGGCCAGATTTGGCCGGGAATTTGTCTGACACCTACGAGACCTCGCCCACTGCAAATATACAGATTTGGTAGTGAATCAGCTTGGAAGTGATAACACTCCGCCGAGCTATGGTTATCATAACCAGTATTGTTACATAACCAGGGTTTGTATCGGGCCAGGGATATGTCAAGACAGGATAATTCAAAAGCTTGGGAGGAGACGGACGGCGCTCAGTCAATTTTTAGTATATCTATTAGTTTTGAATGTTCCAGCACTCGTAGTATTTTCTACTTGCGCAACGGAGTGCGTTAAATTTTTTTATGTCACACCGTGCAATAAGTCGCTTCATCAAACAGGATTGATCTACAAACCGATCAATTGACCTGATAATGGAGACAACCCATCCAACGTCTGACCCTCGTCAGGCATGAATGTAACGACTTTGAAGTTCGCGAGGCCTGATCTTCGCGGAGTATGATCCTCGTGAAACAATCCTACAATTATGCTTTAACGCTTTGATCCATACGTTTTCCACCAAATTTATTGATTGTAATACGTCAATGTAAACAAGGGTGTCCAAATCGACCGAATTAATTTTTTTAATAAAAACTATTACTTTCACATCAGGGGTCCATTTTGTCCTATCCTCCCCTACATATGACCTTCAATGAACACTCTTCATTATTTTTCAATTTCTTCAAATTTGAGATGTTCTTATGTAAAATAATTTGGAATATATCTAAATATTAATAATTGTCCATGTAGTTCATTCAAGGTCATATGTAGTACTGTCATCCTACAATTAAACATAATTGCAATATTTAGAGATGGACTTGGACCACTTGGGAATGACTGGCCTGGAGAAATACACCCCTAAAAAAATAAATTCTACTCCCGAGAAAATAATACCTTGTCAAAAGTAATTTGTTTTCTCAGTGTACGTTGGCTTAACCTGATAAATCTAGTAAGCTTGGGTTAGCCATGCCAAAAGACCAACGCTAAGCCTGAAAAACCACTTTTCTAACCACCCTCCTTAGCAAGGGAACGTTATGTAGATTGTATTGTAGATGGTCAAAAACATATTTTACGGCGAATAATGAAAAAAAATAGTACCATGAGCAGATTCTTTTCTTTTAATCCGTGCTTTAGTAGTTACGATTTTTTCTAAGTCTTTCGGGCATAGTTATGCACAAAGAGGGCATGTGTTAAGTGTATTAAAAGAGTGTATTACCCAGGCATCTGTATGGCTTCACCCATCTGGACAGTTTGCACTTGGTTCTTCCTGGCTTGCACCAACCGCCCACCCTGACATAATGAGATGACTCTACGATATTCGTGATATCTCTCTTCGGATAAGCCTGAAAATAAAAGATGACATTTTTCACAGAATAAAGAACATTTGAGATATTCCATGCCAAATGAGTCAACGGCTGACACTCACCCTTTTGGAAATTGATCTCGATTTTTTCTACGATTGGGGGACTAGACAAACTATCTCTCAATTTTTTTCAGATTTTTTCGACAGCCCATTCGGAGATATGATTTTTTCTTTGTTTTTTCTTTTTTTTTCAATAACTCGGGGTCTATTCAGCCGATTTTAATTTATGACGGCTCAAAATTTTCTATTTTCTATCATCTATGAGAAGATCTTGGGATTTTTTTTCAATCCCGAGGTGCTCATAATACCGAATTTTCTAAAAAAAATTGAAAAAATTTGAATTTTCAAAATTGTTACCTTTTATTTTTCTCATTTTTTTTCAGTAATTCTTATAATCAAAACAAGTATTTTGAGCCCTTATACAACTTGGGTTTCGTTCTGGATCTATTTTATTTTTAATTTTTTCTTCACGACAGTCCGCCAATTTGGTCAAAACACTCCAAAACGACTTCGATTATGTATCACAAAAATATGTAACATATAAGTATATGTTTAAATTCACTTCATACTGTTTATAATCAAAGTCAATCAATGCCATTTTGGGGCATTTTGACCAAATTCATGGAATTTCAAGAAGGAAAAATTGAAAATAAAATAGATCTACTGTCGGTGTCAAAAGTAAAGACCACTGGAAATAAACGTCTATAACTCGACGAAAAAAAAATCGTAAAAATATAAGACCAATTGCACTGTGTAATATAAGTATTTTTTTAAATCGTCAACAATCTCCGATGATTTCAAAAAATCGAGGAAATTCGTCAAAAAAAGGGCTGTTAAAACGATCATAACTCGTTATGGGGTTTATGGGCCCGCTCACCGTCGGTCCCTCAAAATTGAAAACACGTGTGCGTCTGTCTACCTCTTTCAGGGACGTCGATACTAGTTACCGTCGTTTGGGCTCTCTGGGGGCAAGCAATGTACAGTGTATTTGCGCCCCAAAGGGCCCAAACGACTGTAACTAGTATTGACGTCTCTGAAAGAGGTAGGCAGGCGCACAAGTGTTTTCAATTTTGAGGGACCGATGGTGATCGGGCCCATAAACCCCATAACGAGTTATGATCGTTTTAACAGCACTTTTTTTCACGAATTTTCTCGATTTTTTTTTAAATCATCGGAGATTGTTTATTAGAAAAACATTGACCGAATGTGTTTTACATTGAATTCAGAATGCATTTTTTTTCCAGGTCGGTTCGGCAATTCTACAACGAGATAGCCGCGGTCGACATTTCTATTAATTAAATAAATAATTATCACAACATCGAGTTTTTTCTTCTCTCGTTGGCTTCCCAAGGGTTCAACGAATCTCTGGAAAAATTGACGATTTAAAACAAATTTTTTTCGTACGTATGGTAGCGGTTCAAAGTTTGCCGACTTTTACGGACCTTGAAAATCGGGGGGTTTTTCGGCTTCTCACAGCGATTATAAATAAACTAATCAAATTAAAAACTTGAAACTTCGTATTGGGTGAGTGAAATACTTATATTACACAGTGCAATTGGTCTCATATTTTCACGGTTTTTTTTCGTCGAGTTATAGACGTTTATTTCGAGTGGTCTCTACTTTTGACACCGACAGTAGAACGAAATCCAACTTATATGACGGTTCAAATTACTTGTTTGATTATAAGAGTTACTGGAAAAATGACGTGAAAAATAAAACGTGACATAATTTTAAAAATTCAAGTTTTTCAACTTCTTTTTTTGAAAATTCGGTCTTATGAGTACCTAGGGGTTAAAAAAAAATTACTCAAAATATTCTTATAGATGGTAGAAAATTTAAAATTTCGACGAGTCATGAATGAAAATCGGATGAATAGAACTGGAGTTATTGAAAAAAAAACAAGAAAACTAAGAAAAAATTATATCTCCGAAATGGGCTGTTGAAAAGATCTGATAAAATTTCAGAAATAGTTTTTCTAGAAAATCGAGATGAATTTTCAAGACAGTGAGGGTCAGCCGTTGACTCATTTGACGTTGAATACCTCATTTTTTCCCGCCAATATTCGCACATTCGACAGACTTTAAATTATTAGGTTTTGGAAACTGTCGCACATTAGCCAATGAACTTACCCACTAAAGTCATTGAAGGAATAGAGAACATAGAGAATTTACATGTATGAGACGACAGTGTTTTTTCTATGGAAACATGTATTAACAACTACGGTGGAAGAGCTCCGCTTAAAAGCCTTCCTAACAAGATCTGCGGAGCATTGGTTAATCGAATTCAAGAATACTAGACTAAACCGTAGTTAGTTGTGCCTTTTTCTGTTTCCGTGGTAATACTAATCTATATACTAATCCTCTCATTTCGAATGAATCTTCAGAAGCGAAATTACGCGGGTACTCTACTTTTCGTAATTTCAATTAATGATTCTACAAGTACCAGCCATGCATCTTGATTTCGTCATTTATTTCTCTGCGATATTTGTTCCAGTTGATAAACCTATATTGATGAGAATTCACTCCAAGTCCAGCCGCGAAGATAAGCCTTACTATCTTCTGACCGCTTTCTTCACTATGTGGAGAGCTCAGCTGAAGTCATTTTACAATTTGTCAAAAATGTAAACAACTAGCATAAGCGATAAATCGTCTAGCTTCTTCAACTCCAGTAAGAAAATGACTATCGATAATTATTATTAGTCAGTTGACTCAGCACCTTAGATCAGGTACTTATTCGATCTTGACTAGGATGTTCGAACTATAGGATAGGGTCCCCGGTCAGGATACGTTCAGGATCTTGAAAAAGTGTCCGAATTCAATGAGGCTTTATCAATGCTGATTCTGTCTTGATCAATCAAACCACGAGTGGATGCGAGTCGGAACCAGTCATTGAGACAGATCGCATTCTAAGATGCGGATTAGGCTTCAATCCAAGCAAGCGTTTCATTGCTGTTTCGTAACTGATCAATATCAGGTTTTATTGATCAGTCACTTACTTCAGCCTGATTTGAATTTCAACTTGGGTATAGTCCTGCGAAATTTTCTATATGGCTTGATACCGGGTCTGGTACTTTTGGTCCAAAAACCATTCGTCCAACACCTTTTCGTCCGATGGATTTTGGCCCAAAATCATTTGGTCCAATGACCCAAATCGTCCAAAAAAATTTTCGTCCAAAAACCATTTCGTCCACCAAAGGAACGCGTGAGGAACGTATCATGAATGTATTTGCAGACCGTAACCATTACAACAATGTCCTTGATTGGCTGCGCGGATTAGCCCACAATATAAAATTATAAAAACAAAAACAAATCATTTCAAGATGAATTAGACTGACTGACTCTCTCTACTGATTAAATTTTAATAAGTTCATTCCATGTATTCTCTACATTTATGTTTTCACGTAATTCTCGCATGTAAAGTTACTGAATTATTATTTTGATTAAGTGAGTGCATTCACAAGAGACCATCAATTATCTAGTTAACAAGAATAACAGCGTTCTTTTATTGATCATTATAGAACACTAGCGACTGCGTTGACATTTCGTTTAAATTTTGTGCATGAATTTCTCGGTAAATTTTCTTTGTTTGTAATGTTCCCCAATTCTTGAAAACAAAAATTGATGTTGATCGTTAATTTATTCTATCATTGTTGACATTTTCATTGAATTTTGTGCACGTATCAAATGTTTTTTCTTCATTTTTCCCGGAATTGGACGAAAAAATTGGTGGACCAAAAGAAAATTAGACCAAAAACACAATGGATGAAAAAACATTGGACTAAAAGTACCAATGGACGAAATGGGTTTGGACCAAAAGATATTGGACTAATGAAAATTGGACCAAACGTATCGGACCCCTTGAGACCGCAGTTGTAAATTCACCACCATTTCTCGAAACCACGTAAACCAAGTAAAATTGAAACGACTCCGGGAATGAGAGGAGTTCCGCAACTAAAAGCTATTTCAGTTTAGAGTGAAAAGTTTGTGGACAGTATCATGATCCTAAATACGTGATTGATTTCTTTAGCAGTACTCTTTTCTTCTATTCCCTACCTCCGATCATGGATATGAGCTGGAACCAGGCGGCCCCAGTAGGTAGTAAATACCTCAGTCGTAACGTATTCTCTCTGCTATCCAAAATGTAGAAACTTTGGTACGCCTATGATCGTCGCCGAGCGGCGAATTTTCAACCCGAAGGTTATGTCTTGGTCGGATGGAAAACAGTTCTTTCGATGATCTGCCTAAGACGGACGTTTATGTTCGCTTGAAGACGTTCTAAGCCAGAGCAATGTTTTTGAGATGGACGTGTTGTATTCGTCTCGCACCGAAATCCGTCCTANGCGTGAGGAACGTATCATGAATGTATTTGCAGACCGTAACCATTACAACAATGTCCTTGATTGGCTGCGCGGATTAGCCCACAATATAAAATTATAAAAACAAAAACAAATCATTTCAAGATGAATTAGACTGACTGACTCTCTCTACTGATTAAATTTTAATAAGTTCATTCCATGTATTCTCTACATTTATGTTTTCACGTAATTCTCGCATGTAAAGTTACTGAATTATTATTTTGATTAAGTGAGTGCATTCACAAGAGACCATCAATTATCTAGTTAACAAGAATAACAGCGTTCTTTTATTGATCATTATAGAACACTAGCGACTGCGTTGACATTTCGTTTAAATTTTGTGCATGAATTTCTCGGTAAATTTTCTTTGTTTGTAATGTTCCCCAATTCTTGAAAACAAAAATTGATGTTGATCGTTAATTTATTCTATCATTGTTGACATTTTCATTGAATTTTGTGCACGTATCAAATGTTTTTTCTTCATTTTTCCCGGAATTGGACGAAAAAATTGGTGGACCAAAAGAAAATTAGACCAAAAACACAATGGATGAAAAAACATTGGACTAAAAGTACCAATGGACGAAATGGGTTTGGACCAAAAGATATTGGACTAATGAAAATTGGAC